AGGGCATTTCTACTAGAAGCAAGAAGCTACTAGGTGGAGGCCATCGCTGGTGGTAGCAATAAAGCTTTCTAGTAACTAGAAGCTACTAGTAACAAGGGCATTTCTACTAGTAGCAAAAAAGTTACTAGGTGGAGGCCACCGCTAGTAGTAACAATAAAGCTAGTAACAAGTTAACAAAGGCATTTCTACTAGGTGGAGGCCATCGCTGGTAGTGACAATAAAGCTTTTTTTGTAACTAGAAGCTACTAGTAACAAGTGCATGTCTACTAGTAGCAAAAAGCTACTAGGTGGAGGCCATCGCTGGTAGTAACGATAAAGCTTTCTAGTAACTAGAAGCTACTAGTAACAAGTGCAGTTCGACTAGTAGCATAAAGCTACTAGGTGGAGGCCATCACTGGTAGTAACAATAAAGCTCTCTAGTAACTAGAAGCTACTAGTAACAAGGGCATGTCTACTAGTAGCAAAAGAGCTACTGTAAGAATAAAGCTGTTTAATAACTAAAAGCTACTAGTAACAAGTGCATGTCTACTAGTAGCAAAAAGCTACTAGCTGGAGACCATCGCTGGTAGTAACAATAAAACTTTCTAGTAACTAGAAGCTATTAGTAACAAGGGCATGTCTACTAGTAGCAAAAAGCTACTAGGTGGAGAAGATCGCTGGTAGTAACAATAAAGCTTTCTAGTATATAACTAAAAGCTACTAGTAACAAGTGCATTTCGACTAGTAGCAAAAAGCTACTGGTAACAATAAAGCATTTTAATTAACTAGAAGCTACTAGTAACAAGTGCATTTCTACTAGTAGCAAAAAGCTACTAGGTGGAGGCCATCGCTGGTAGTAACAATAAAGCTTTCTAGTAACTAGAAGCTACTAGTAGCAAGGGCATTTCTACTAGTAGCAAAAAGCTACTAGGTGGAGGCCATCGCTTGTAGTAACAAACAAGTTTTCTAGTAACTAGAAGCTACTGGTAACAAGGGCATGTCTACTAGTAGCAAAAGAGCTACTAGGTGGAGACCATGACTGGTACTAAGAATACAGCTTTCTAGTAACTAAAAGCTACTAGTAAAAAGGGCATGTCTACTAGTAGCAAAAAGGCTACCAGGTGAAGGCCATCGCTGGTAGTAACAATAAAGCTTTCTAGTAACTAGAAGCTACTATATAGTAGCAAGGGCATTTCTACTAGTAGCAAAAAAGTTACTAGGTGGAGGCCACCGCTAGTAGTAACAATAAAGCTAGTAACAAGTTAACAAAGGTATTTCTACTAGGTGGAGGCCATCGCTGGTAGTAACAATAAAGCTTTCTAGTAACTAGAAGCAGGTAAACATGTGCAGCACGGCTAACAAAAAAAGACTCGCGCAGCCCAGCGACGCGGCCACTGCAGGGATCTCTGCCACATGTCCGGCAATGGCCTGATCGTGGATGGATTATGATAATACCGATTGCTACGGTACGAAGGCTGCCTTCAATGGCCAAACGCTGTTCAGGAACTCGTTCGTTTGTTCGTAGTTAGGAGATGCACCCGGCAGTAGTTGCAAGAATCAGGGGAGGTTTTGTCCTCCATTCAAACACGGAGCTGGGAGAAACACTTCTCCTTTTTGTCCCACATGTGGTAGAATCCTCAATCACATCCATAGGACCATAGGACTTGATACAGGCCTGAGACCCCAGGCAGTCATGACGTGCCGCCAACAAATGCCGCAATTTGGTATGATGCTTCAGTGAAAGATAGTGAACCAAGTCAAAGAAACTCATGTGGAGGCGCTTTTCTCCGCAGCCAGGCTCGATCTATGTTGTGAGTGAAGAAATGAATGTGGACTGCCGTGAATCGAAACATGCCTCAAACTCTACATGGAAGAAGACCCCCCCTTGAGTGAGTTGCTGTGTCGGTGAGTTTGAGTCCGTTTTCGATGGTGGTTCCAGGAAGCTACCGGTCATGACCTAATGTAGACTCTTGACATCATGACCCCCCCTTATGAAGAGATTGTTCAATGCAAATGGGGTGGGTGTACACACCGAACATCGGTAAGGGATGGTGTGAGCGCTCCTCGTAGGCCTCCACCACCTTGCGAAACTTCTCCGTTGCGGAGGCCTGGATGGGCGGTCACGAGAAACCCTCAAATGTGAATGAATGTGAGCAGCCACCCAAACCTCACAGAACGTCACTATAAGTGTTCACTATATAAGTGTCCACATGAGAAGTGAACAGTTAACAGTGAACAGTATCAATCACTGTGGCTCTACTTATGAAGGGCCATGATCGAGGGCATTGCAGCCTGGTTGCTGAGGAAATGCATGTTCTCGTGGAACAAGAACCGACCATTAAGTTTGATCATCAAGTCGTGAGGCCTTGTCCTTTTCATTTCTCTGCTTGTCGGGGTGGTAGAGCAAGGCCAAGCGTCGGTAGGCCTCACACACATCCTTCCATGTACATGTACATCAGCAGCACGTGTTTCTAGCACAAGCTTCGCGCACCCCGGCACAAACAAAATGAGAGGCCGTGCAGTTCTCCAACTTTTGCAGAAGCCCACACACTCGACAAGCGACTCCGTCGCAAAACATCATTGCCTTCTTCAGCTGGGCAGGATCAGCCCCAGGTTCCAACTCCAAGACCTGGCAATGATGTTACGCCGCTACGCCAGCACGTCGCCGATCGTTCACGTCATAGCCACTACGATGCTTGCAAACAAAACAAAACGTGTCAACAAGCTTCTCCTCCTTTCTATCCTTGTGGCCTAAGGGAGGAGGGTCAAACGCAACTCGAACACTTGCAATTCTGTCAAGTTCATAGGTTCAAAATGGATCAAAATGGGCAGTCTAGTGAAGTCTGGTCTCTCGGTCGCAGCTAGTGAACAGCATCTGGATCTCCCCGTTCAGCACTGGAAGCGAAAAGGCATCCGTCGCCGACTCAACGCCTTCCAATCAGCCGCAGTTGGCTCCGGCTTTTGCTGGCCCTTTGTCCTGGGCTTTAACCCCCCCACGGCCCTTGTTCCAAACTCATGTGACTGATGACTAATGCTTGCCAATGTTTGCTCCTTGCTCATTTTGCAACTTCGCCAACCAAGTCGAGTTTCAACACCAATAGAAACTTTGCCAACCACACCCCGAGCCATCGCCCATTCCACACCCCAAGCCATTCCGCACCTGGCCGGTCTGATGAGCCCATTGCTGTGGATGAAGTTCTTCAGCTCGGCATCGCTCCAGTCCTTCTCCTCGTATCGTCGGGCTTGTCCCCATAGCTCCAGTGCCGAATCGTGGAATCTCCATTTGTACCTCCTAGTAGTAAGGCCAGGAGCCCCTAGTAGCTTCTTCTTGTTACTAGTAGCGATGCCAGGAGCCCCTAGTAGCTTCTTGTTACTAGTGGCGATGCCAGGAGCCCCTAGTAGCTTCTTCTTGTTACTAGTAGCGATGCCAGGAGCCCCTAGTAGCTTCTTGTTACTAGTAGCGATGCCAGGAGCCCCTAGTAGCTTCTTGTTACTAGTAGCGATGCCAGGAGCCCCTAGTAGCTTCTTGTTACTAGTAGCGATGCCAGGAGCCCCTAGTAGCTTCTTGTTACTAGTAGCGATGCCAGGAGCCCCTAGTAGCTTCTTGTTACTAGTAGCGATGCCAGGAGCTCCTAGTAGCTTCTTGTTACTAGTAGCGATGCCAGGAGTCCCCACTAGCTTCTTGTTACTAGTAGCGATGCCAAGAGCCCCTAGTAGCTTCTTGTTACTAGTAGCGATGCCAGGAGCCCCTAGTAGCTTCTTGTTACTAGTAGCGATGCCAGGAGCTCCTAGTAGCTTCTTGTTACTAGTAGCGATGCCAGGAGCCCCTAGTAGCTTGGAGCCCCTAGTAGCTTCTTGTTACTAGCAGCGATGCCAGGAGCCCCTAGTAGCTTCTTTTTACTTGTAGCGATGCCAAGAGCCCCTAGTAGCTTTTTGTTACTGGTAGGAGCTCCTAGTAGCAACTTGATACTAGTAGGGATGCCACGAGCCCCTAGTAGCTTCTTGCTACTAGTAGCGATGCCAGGAGCATAGTAGCTTCTTGTTACTAGTAGCGATGCCAGGAGCCCCTAGGAGCTTCTTGTTACTAGTAGCGACGCCAGGAGCCCCTGGCAGCTTCTTGTTACTAGTAGCGATGCCAGGAGCCCCTAGCGCTTATTCTTGTTACAAGTAGCGATGCCAGGAGCTCCTGGTAGCTTCTTGTTACTAGTAGCGATGCCAGGAGCCCCTAGTAGCTTCTTGTTACTAGTAGCGA